CGCGGTATGTGGTGACCGTTTGGCAAAATGACGAACGTGGTCTGTCTGCGGGTAAAGAGGGTAGGTGATGGCAGGGTGTCCGAGCAATATGCCTTATATGTGTCCTGAGTGCCTCAACGTCGATATGTGTCGTGATGAGGTGGTCACCGGCAATAGCAATAGTAGCCATTGTTGACGCACTACGAGGCAAGCCGAGGCAAATCCGGAGTGCCTGGGACTGAACACTCTGTAGCATTCGAAGGCTTGTTTTGCTTGCATTGGTCAATGCCGGTAAACTGTACCGCAGGAAACCGAGAAAAAGTACTCTGTACAGCTGTAGCATTGCACTGGGAGACATTTCCCAAGTCTCACCTGCAAAGAACTTCAGTATATTACAAATGTCCATTAGCCGTTTCTTCGTGTACGAAACGTTATCGCTCCATGATAGATTCCTGTCAATTATGACACCCAAAAACTTGTGCGATCGAACGTATGGTACAGTTTGACCATTGATGCTTATAGTGTACTTATCCATAGGCTTTCGTGTAAAAGCTACGAGGGCGCATTTCTCGGAAGAAGTTTCCAAGCCTCGATTTCGGAGGTAGCGTAATGTTTCAGTGGCAGCTTTTTGAATTCTCCCTCGTAACTGCAGGCGTGTTACAGCCGATGCCCAAACGCAGATATCATCTGCGTACATTGATAGCCTGACCGTGCTTGGCAGATGCTCAGTGAGAGCAATTAACGTAATATTGAACAGCGCAGGGCTGAGTACGCCACCCTGGGGGACGCCACGGTGGCTGTATTGTGGAGAGGTTGGACCGTCTTCAGTGCTCACAAAGAAGGATCGCATTGACAAATAACTACGTATCCAGCGATACATCCGACCACCTACTCCTATATCTTTGAGAGCGGTAAGAACAGCTCCATGCGTAACGTTGTCATACGCCCCTTTGACGTCTAGGAACAAAGATGCGCAGAGACGCTTACGGCCTTTCTCGTGTTGGACATAAGTGACCAGGTCGACTACGTTGTCAATCGATGCTCGACCACGCCAAAATCCTGCCATGGCATCTGGGTAGATGTTGTTACACTCCAAGAACCACTCCAGGCGTCCCAGGATCATCCTCTCCATAACTTTGCCTACACAACTGGCCAATGCGATCGGACGATAAGATGAACGGTCCAACGGTGACTTGCCTGGCTTCAGAAGTGGAACTAGGCGACTTGTCTTCCAGCTTGTCGGGAGCGTTCCATCTTGCCAGGATTTGTTGTACAACTCCAAAAGGAGGATTCTCGCGCGTTCACCCAGATGACACAAGGCCCTATAAGAAATTCTATCGGGCCCTGGTGCTGACGTGCGTCCACACAAAGCTAGTGCTGCTCTCTGAGCTCCACGATGGAAAAAGGCATATCCATGCGGGAATCCAGTGTTTGTGGACAGTTAGTCGAGAGCAATAAGCTACTGGGCACTGCGAGTGGCCCAGATACTCTGACACAGAAGTCTTCTGCCACGTCAATGCCGCGTCTCTGTTCAGAAAGTGCGAGAGCCCTGAATGGTGATCACTGATTGGTTTTTGTGCGGAGACCTCGTACCGTCTTCCACAATTGGGATAAAGGTTTGCGTGGGTCAAGTGACTCACAAAAAGCAGTCCAACGTTGCGACTCGAGTTTATTTATCCGGCGCTGAATCTTCTTCTGTATACGTCGAGCCATCCGTAAGTCTTCTATTGCCTCCGTGTGTCGGTATCATCGTTCAGCACGCCGTCGGATTGCTCGAAGTCGTTCTAGCTCGATGTCAAATTCCGTTACTTTGAGAAAGCAGGTGAGGGTACACGTAGTATCGTGTATTGTGCTTTTAATTATCTCCTCTATGTCGAGGGATACGTTTGCTTCACATTGCTCTTCCATGCGAGACTGGAATTTCATCCAGTCCACTCTCTGAACACTATCGCGTATCTTAGCATGGGACAATCCTTCGATTTTGACGTAAGAGGGTATGTGGTCACTTCCATGCGTTTCTATGTCTGGAAACCACTCAGCATGCCTGACGAGGCCTCGTGAGACAAAAGCCAGGTCAAGGCAGCTGCTATACCTTGAACCACGTAGGACGTTGCACTGCCATCATTTAGCAAGAAAAGTTGGTTGTCGGAGGCGAAAGGACACCAACTTTCTCCCTTTAACATTGGTCTTCGAACTTCCCCAGATGGTATGATGGTCGTTGAAGTCACCAATTATATTGCATGGGTGAGAAGTTGCTGACAGGATACCTTGTAGTCTTGTATGGTCAAAACGGCTTGACGGAGAGAGGTAGGCACCCACAACCGTGATGGTAAGTGTCCTTTTCACTGTTACACTTATATATTGATTGTCGTCGTGGGGTGACACCGGATGATGAATGTAGGTGAGGTCGCGGCGAATAAACATCAGAACTTTGCTATTGTCCGCAGTTGTAGACGACATGTATGACTTATAAGCAGAAAGTCTGATTTCTTTCTGCAATTTTGGCTCGCAGATGACAATGATGGGGAGCTTATTGGTGTACACGAACCGACTGAAATCGGCGATGCGTGACCTTAGTCATCGGGCATTCCATTGAATAATCGCTGCCTTTCGGACCTCTTCTCTGAAAGACAGTGGCTGGTGAGCCATTATTTACTCAAGTGCTGCGAGTACTGGACTCAAAGCGTCCAGTAATTGCGATGCACTTCTTGCTGACTGTGTGTGCAAGTTGCTTAACAACAAGCGAATGGCGTTAATTAAGGGTCGCAAAAGAGCTATCACTTGCTGATCTGTGTTCCGCAAGTCCTCCATTGCAGCAGCTTGCTCTGAAGAAGACGGCATTCTGCTGCGGCTCTTCTGAGCGTTGTGTACGCGTAAGTGGGGGCCACTCTTCTGTAGAGACTGGTCTGCCCCTTTGCTCTTTTCCAACGTCTGTGTTTGCCGTGCTGTAAACTGCAGCTGGTGACCTTTCCTGATGCGTCGACTTATCGCCGGAAGTTGGCGCTCTCCGATGTGAAGACCTTCGACGGCGACGTCGTCTTCGCTGGATTTTCCCGGCAGCTTCTTTGTGGGTTGAGCTGTCTCGTACCATTTGCTTCAGAATAGAAAATTCTTTCTTTATGTGAGGACATTCTTTCGAAGAAGCCTGACAGTTAGGACACTTCAGTGTGGTAGCGCTACAGTTGTCTTCCGAGTGTGGTTCGGCGCACCGGGAGCACGCTGCGGAGCTCCTGCAAACACCCTTTACATGGCCGATCTTCTGCCAATTGAAGCATTGCACGGGTTTAGAAATGAACGGTCGAACTTGTTGACGAAAGTGGCCAACCTTCACGTATGCGGGAAGACGGTCACCTTTGAACGTTACTCTCACACAGCGTGTGTTACCAAGCCGTCCAACACTGACAATGACGTTGTCTTGACTCGCTGGTTTTATAAGTATTGGAAGGTCTGCGTTTGGTATTTCTGTGTTAATGTCGTAACTGACTCCTGATGTGGTCACACCATCGACTGGTATGATGGACCTAACTGCAATGTTTCCCAGTTGTGTTACTTGTGGCAGCGTGCTCAACGCAGTCGAGTGCCGCACATCGACAGCCAGGATGTTTCTTCTTGTATTAAGCCGTAGGTCTTCAATCTCGTTCGGCACAATGTTCTGAAAATAGAGCGAAAGCGCTTGCCTGTTCAGAACACGCAGACTTTCGGTAGCGTTCTTTGGCACAAACAGGATGGAATGGGGCCATCGCTGGGGCGCCGTTATCACGGTGGCTGTACTTGACACCGGCGATGGATTGATGATCCGTCGCTTGTCCGTTTGGTGCAGGACAGGTTGAAAGCCGTCCCTCTGAGGACTCGTCGCAAGATGCGGAGTACAGCTCAGTGTCATCGCTCTCACTGGATGTGTTTCCTCGCTTCCTCGAGGTAGTGGCCGCGGTCGAACTGGAATCAGACGTCACCTCGTGAGGTTGTACATCCATTACCGCAACCTACGGGGCAATACACCCCACACCTGCAGCGAAAAGTCCAGAAAAGCACTGAGACAAGCGAGATGTGCTCTACAAAGAATTACTTCGACCTTGCAAACACTATGAAAAAAAATGGAAACACTAAGAAAATTTTGCTTGGTATGTTTTGTGATTTCCATTCTGAGAGGTCTCAGCACTACCTTGGAGTGAGCACACATTGGCTACTCCGGTAGTCAGATGAACGAATTAGTTTGACCTCTTCAGCTTCATTATAGTGTCTGTGAAGTTCAAACATGTTTTTTGGCATGGAATACACAGTGTGTAGGCGTTGTGCGATCCAAATATTTAAAATTCACACATTGTGATGTCTCGTAGTTTTGAGACGTAAAAAGGGAGCTCGTGTTTATGAGCACTTCTCCAGGAGACTCCAAAAGTTATAGGACGTGGGCGTGCACTGTCCCAGTAAACGAAGAAAGACGGCTGTTTCAGCGGAATCAGTTAAGCGTAGCTTGAGTGCGCGTTCGTTGACTTCCTTAATTTTGTTCCTATAACCAGAAACCTGCCACTTTTCTATGGGAATATGTATGTCCGCGTAAGCCTTAGTTCGTATAGCAGCGCGATGTGTAGCTATCGCATTCATTGCTTTGGCCTTGTGCCGGAACTGTCACATATTTTCTTATCGCACGTGTCTCCTTTTTTTAAATCATTGCGATTTTTTCAATTATTACATAGACTATTTCGTGTCGCAGCCATTCAGCCAGTATCTGTTGTGTCTACAGAGCTTCTCTACCTCTTTGCGGTTACAGAGAAACACTTGCTGTTGGGCTAGCCGCATCGTTCTGCGCGGGAACCATAAAGCTATGACCACGTAGCACAAGATCGGCAAAAAAAAATAACAAGGGGTGGCAAAAGCCGAGTCACCGTGCACCTTTCTTTTTACTTTTTCAGCCGTTTTGCGCTCACAAGTCTCAAAGACAGTGCACATTCATTTGGGTTACGTCTGGGCATCGCTCCAGAAAAACATCGGTGGTAGAAACTGACGGGAAGAAGGCAACGATGTTGGTTGCGGCAAGTATGGCAGATTTATTTAGTTGAAGTTTTCGAAGGCACCACAGGACTCTTGGTCATAAGCCAGTTTTGCATCGTCGCAGTTGTCTTCGTATTGATCTTGGCAATCTTTCGGAATGTCGTTGACGACATTCCAGGTGACCCACAGGACGCACTTCTGCGCCAGGAGAGATGCTGTCAGTGCACGCGCAAAAACAAATAACCGAGAACAGCCTTAGCTCAGTTACAAGAAATCTGACACTTCAAAAGCATAAGTTTTGTACAAAACTTTGTATGGTCCATTTAAATGCATAACACAGCTTACACTTGCCCCTACCCCCAAAACCCTACTTCCTGCTTTCAAAAAAAATAAAAATAAAACACGCGTTGCGGAAAGCTTGCACAACGGCTGTCTTTGCTTGTTTGCGTCGGCTTTCCTAGAAGTGACCTGCTTTTATGTGTCCAAAAAATTGTTTACCTCTTTTCAAATAAAGTTTGCATTTCATCATAACGTGTTGAAGTATATTTAGGTTGGAAATAAGTCTTCGTTTATTTCAACGGTTCCGTAATTCTGCTGTGCTATTACCGCGGTAGACTGCAATATCACCATGAAACATAACCTGCTAATTCGGAAGTCCTCACGGAGGAGTCAGGATGCGGAAAGTAAATTCAAGCGACAAACGTTCTACTAACTGATATAAAAGCACTGCTAATATTGATATGTTGCTGCATTCTTGGATGAAGATGTCCCGGAGAACTCGTGCGTAAGATGTGTTGGATCAGAATGTGGAATTCGAATAATTTTACGACTACGTTTCTATTCATAAAGACTTTCCACTGAATGGGCACCCGGGTTTGGTCAAGTAGCATTATTTATTTGTCTTCCCTTCTTGCTGCACTTATCAGTTATGAGGCAAAGAAGTACTTCGCTTCTGACTCTACATGATGAGATGGCTGTCGGGTGCGACTGCCACGTATTAACTGATATATATACACCTGCAAAGTTTGCATAGTTAAATTAGCCTACATAAAAACATCATTTTGTTCTGCCAAGACAGTCTGACTGGCATTCTGGAGATAAAAAAGGTTAATTGAGTACAACCAGAACAAGGGTATAGGGAATAGGGGTGCAGGCAGGCCCCAGTTTGCCATTGTGCATGTATTTTAAGTTTTTAAATCTGTCTAAAATGTCTGTGGATAGACAAGTTATCCATCAGCTCTATCCAGAAACTTCATTCAGGGAATACCGGGAGAGCTATTGAGACAAGTTTCCTCTTACAATGCTGCTGAGTGCAAGAACATGGATTTCCGCAGCGATGATTGAGTCTGTGCGTCAAACTTGCATTACCTATACACTCAGGAGTTTCTCTGTGTTAAGGTGTTATTTGAATGATCCCCGAATAAAGCTTTGTTACTGTTCATTGGTGGAAACGTGGACGCAAGCTGCTCGTTCTTTGAAGGCCTCGCTATTTTTTACCTTCACTGTCATTGTAAGGCATTTCCATGACGACGCAGCTCTTGTAGTCTGTGTAGTCGTAAGTGCCCTCTTGAACAGGTTCATCGGCTGAAAAGTAAGAGAAAAAGTTTCTACTCATTTGTGGCAGGAGAAATATTGATGACACCATGAATATGCGTTGTGGAAGGCAGCAGCAGTTGGCGTGTACGTCCCGAAACTTTTTTTTTGCTTGGGCTAACTCGCGCCTGGAAAGTGGAGGGTTCGAATCATAAGAACTTCAAGTTATACATTGATAGCGGCGAGAACAGTGCCGGCCGCCTTGTGCTCTGATCTGCTAGGAAGTGCGTCGGCATTTACACACGAAGCATCGAATATTGGAGCCTTACCGCTGGTACTCTCGTAAGCACTCGAATAAACTTGACTACTCGCGTCCAGCGCGTACAATTAATAGCATTATTCTGAAAATGTTCCACCTCCTCAAACACAGCGGGGCCATTAGTACCTATAGCGTTCCCGACATTCTTTGCGGATTAAACCTAAACTCACCTGCCATGCCAGCAAGGAGAAGGGAAGCTTTTATATGTCTTTCGTGATTAAGAGCTTGAGATAGTTTCTATTATTGAACGTACTCTCTTGAAGAAGTTCCATTTGTGCCGACGTCTCCTCCCACAATACGCTTAGATCGTTGCTCTCTCTTTAATAAAGCTTCCTTCCTCAACAAGCCGCGGAAGTCATGCTTCCTGTGACCAGGCGCTTTGAGAGAGCGCTAGAAAACGTACCACTTAGTCATCTAATATATCATAACCACGTGATTGAACACAACCGCAAGAGCTGCTTATGTAACAAAGGAACGCCGCTGGAGGTACTGGCTGCTGTACCGATAACTAAAAGAGAACTGGTGAGGGACGGGCATTACGTTCGAGGCTCACGTTTGAGGCGTTGAATTGTATAATGCCTTGCTTCCGACATCCGTATCCAGTTTATTAAAGGCCCATGCATTAAAGCGGAAATAATGCCCTGAACGTTCCATGAAGTTCTCTGTATTTGGTGTTTATGTCACTCATTAATCACCGCCCCGCGCCAAAAGCTCAATAGATGATTCAGGAGACACCATACTGCTACCAACTTTGCCCGGCTTATGAATTTGTTTTCAGTGGGTGTATTTTACTGAGACACTGAAAAATTCTCCACTTTACCGTAAAGACGAAGCAATGAACGCGATAGCAACAAACTGACGTGCAGAATGGAAAGCATATCGAAACGTGCCCTGCGTTTCTGACGCACAAATAGCGCACGAAACGTACTCACAGGTACGTATGCACGCGAATAAGCGTATCATTAGTTACTTTGCTTTGTCTGAAAAGCGCACGCTTTTCGCAAATGAAGACTGCAATGATTGCAGTGACCTTTTTGCACCCGATAATTACAGCAGATTCGTTCCTGGTACATGCAGAGGCCAGCGAAGACGTACGATCCTCCCCTCCTCGCCACCACGATATAAGAACGCGCGAAGGAGCGTCGGTTCCCATCTCTAAGCCAAGCAATGTACGCGTAGAAGATTAAAGTGGGCGCCACCACGCAATGTGGCGACGCACACTCATTGCGCCATCGTGCTGGTAATGCTGAAAACGTAATTATCCCCGAGATGCTCGTGAGCAGCGGCAAGTGGTATATATATATATATATATATATATATATATATATAATATATATATATATATATATATATATATATATATATATATATATATATATATATATATATATATATATATATATATATATATATATATATATATATATATATAAAACAATGGCACCGTATCTACATGTTTCACTGCAAATGTCGTCGAAAGACAATAGTCTTGCGTGGGGAGAGAGTGAACAAAACGTTTATTTACTGTTCTGGGTGACGAAATCGGTGAATCGTATTCTGCAAGCGCTGCGTTAGAGACTCTCTCGATCCGTGCAGCGAAGGCAAACGAGCGCATCGAGGCACGTTAGGCACAAGCGCCATCTGACAGTTATCTTCCAAAACGAAGGAAAGTGTGAGCGCCCGCGGAGAAAGATGCGCGCCTGTCTCGGAGGCGATAAGGAGTAGAACGCGAAGCGACGGGCAGGTGCCACCACCCTGTCGTCTTAGCAAAGCGTTGGAAACACTTGCCTATTTGATCATCGCGTTGCATTGTCAGCGCAGCGTGCTAAATGCTACGGTCCTTAGAATTACTTGTGTGTGCCTTCTTCAGTATAAAGGCACACATACAAAACATCGACGTGTTGTTATGGTACCTCATATATGCGCAGTAAGTGTTTTAATTTAACATCACACATGTATGAACGCTGAAACTTGAGCAATATTGGTGGACGCTGCGGATGGGGTTGACCGTTAAAAAGGACCGTTTGGTGCCTTTAAGCGGATCCAAGATTGATGCCACGAACAAACAGACAATTGTACAGACAGGAACAAACAGGATGGACATACAGGCAGAAAGACCGACCATAAATTTTGCGTCGAAGGTCCCCAAGAAAGATATCGTCTTCAATAGCTTTCCGTATTGGTGGTGAAGGATGTGCTCTGGGGTGGCTGAGTGGTTAAAGCCTCGCTTTGACGACGCAGAGGTCTCACGTTCGATTCCGCCCGTCGGAGTGAATTTCTGGGTTTTTGTTTTTCTTTCTTGCATTTTCATATATACAGATGCGGTTCTATATACGGTGAGTGACTGCGACACCGAAGCCGGCGGCAAAATCTAGCTCAGAGTGTCCTTCTAATTGCTATCGCAATAACATTGATCCTTTGAAGTCAGTGAACAAGTACTTACTGTCTTGATTTTTGACGAGAAACTGGTTAGGTTTACGTCCTGGACGAACTTCATACGAGATGTTTTGCCTGAAATTCGAATAAAACATTCATAATAAGTATAGTGACGTGCCTTATTGTTTTATAGGCTACCTTAGATCATTTAGTGCAGTCATATATGACAAAATAGTTCTTAAACTTGAAAATACAACCCGCCGTGGTGGTCTAGTGGTTAACGCACTCGATTGCTGACCCGCAGGTCGTGGTATCGAATCGCGGCCGCGGCGGCTGTATTTTCGAGGGAGGCAAAAATGATCTAGGCCTGTGAGCTGATATTTGGATGCGCGTTAAAGAACTCCAGGTTGTCTAAATTCACAGAGCCCTCCACTACAGCGTCCCACATAATCATATCGTGGTTTTGGAACGTTAATCTCAAGCGAATATTATTATAACTAGAAATACCGTACAGTCTGTGATATCCACTTTTTGTATATCTCTATGGTTTTCTGGCTGGAAAGAATTCATGGAGATGCCTGGTTAAAAAACAGTCTGCCCTCCAGCCGCAGGGCACTGTCCTCAGCTATCTTCCTATTTTAGTATATACATAAAATATCTATTCTTTTCTTAGGGCTCCAGACAACTGGTTTTTACTGAAGGTCGGTATCAAGACCCACCAACACTTGTTTCCAGAGTCCTTTATTTGTACCGCGACAGCCCGGAATCTAGAGGACACGATGGATTTTGGCGCGCCTACAATAAATTGGTCAAGAGATTTACATGGCCTCACATGAAGAAAGACGTCAGTCAGTACGTTCGTTCCTGCCATGTGTGTCAAGTACACAAGATAAACAGCCTACGGGTGCTTTTATACTACCTCGCCACTCGAACGTACCTTTAGAAGTAGTTCATCTGGAATTTCGCCGAAACTAAATAGGAATGGGACGAGTAAAGAAAACGCAAGCTTTTCTTTCTGGCCATAGATGAATGCCGAGGATGGTTGCCGCACCGGCAGGAAATAAGATGCAAATAGCGTCATAACCCTCCTCGAAAGAGACATGTTTAAGACTACGTGGTCAATCGTATGCGATAACGGGCCTGCGTTCAAGAGCGAAAAGCTGGCAAATGGGTCGGGATCACAATATATCGATCAATTTCTGTCTTCCATACCCTATTTCGCAAGCGGTGGCTGGCAGAAAAGTGCCATACGGGCCCTGACACCAGTACATAAGATGTACAATAGTTTTCCTGGAGATGGAAAATGTTCTTAGAAGCCACCGTGAAACATCGATAATCGATCCTATACAAGTGCTCGGGTGCAGTCCACAGTACGCTTCTTTAGGAGAAACGCCTATTCTGCAGGCAGACCGTGAGTTGGGACTCCTGGAAAACGTCAAGATCGTCGAGAAGAAGCAAGAAAAATTACAGGAGGAGAGATACTGAAAACAAATGAAAAAGAATTTCGACAAGAGGCATCGAGCAGACATGCCAGATATTCTGGTCACTGACCTCGTACTAGTGAGGAAAGGAATAAAAGGTGCCAGCACCAATTTTACGGTCCCTACTATGTGACCAAGTGAGCCCCAAAGAACCTAATTTTGAAAACTCTCTGGTACACTGGTGAACGTGGATCAGTTGGATGTGCTTCAATTGGAAATGTCTTGGAATATTACCCCAGGAGAGTGTAATTAAAAAAAACCGGGAAAGATGAAAGTGGTATAAGCCTTGGGACAGAGAAGAAGCACGAGAGCCGGAGGTCAGGAAAGAAGAGAAGGATGAAGTTAATGAAGTTAGGGATAAAGCCAAGGTGGACGCTGGTTCCATACTGAGGCTTTAATGCTGTTTCATTCTTTAAGTATGAACACTACAATATATATATAAATATATATATATATATATATATATATATAATATATATATATACTATATATATGTAAGAATTCATTGGAAGCCATCTTCCTCATCTGTCAATAACCATCACCAGTCTTCGCTCCGTTCCTCTTCATTCATCGGTGCCATCCTTGCTGTTGCTTGAATAAAGCGTCAGCTGAAACCGTTGTATTTCAAGTGGTGGAAGGTTGCTTCCGATCTCTTCGACCTCTCTCCATCCAAAGCCAGCTCCTGGAGCTCCGGTTTGCGACGTCGCTTACGCCAGCATAGCACCATGCACAAGAGCAAGCCCAACCGAATCACCCGCCGGCGCAACCACCAGCCGCGAACCCCTAGCCGGCAACAACCCTCTCAGGAGCCTCCAATCTTCTCCGGTTTGCCTGGCGAAGATTCCAAAGACTGGCTCGACAACTATGACCGTGTAGGTGTCTACAACAACTGGAACGAGGTATCGAAACAGCACGCGTCCAGTTTTACGTCTCTCAGATTGCCAAGACGTGGTTCCTGAATCACGAGAGCGACTTCCGCGATTTGTGTTCCTTCAAAGACCAGCTCCGACGAAATTTCGGCACGCCGATACTCCGTTCAGAGGTTGCCCGCAAGAAACTGGCAGAACGCGTTCAATATTGTGGTGAGTCTTACACTTCCTATATTCAGGATGTGCTTGCACTTTGCCACCGTATCGACGACACCATGCCAGAAGGTGACCGTGTCTGCCACCTTCTGAAGGGTATTGGACCTACCGCTTTCAACGCTCTCGTCGCGCACAACCCTTCGATGGTTTCCGACATCGTCTCTGTAAGCCAGCGTCTTGATATCTTGCAGTCAATCCGCCTGCGACCCGACTTCTCTGAGAACCCCCTCGCAAAGAGTATGGAGCTCCGATCAATCATTCGAGCCATAATTCATGAGGAATTTCAAGCCTACAGTTTACCTTCTTCTAACAACGTTCCCGCTCAACCCGCCTCTAGCGATCTGCGTGGCATTATTAGGGAAGAAATGTCAGCGTTTTAAAGCACCCACCATGCTCCATCATGCCACCAACCCGCTTCGTATGCACAGATCGCTTCAATGCAACCCTCGCCGTCTCAAGTACAACCAGCTGTGCCTGATCATGAACATCTCGCACCTCTAGTCGCCCCTCCACCGAACCCAACCTACCATTCTTCCTGGCGGGCCCCACGGCCTATTTGCTACTGCTGTGGAATTCGAGGACACATTTCCCGGGTACTGTCGACGTCGGCAGCAAGATGAACGTCGTGGTTATGCCGCTTTTGAACGAGACGACACATGTGCTCAAGGTTACTAGCGTTATGCCGACAGTCGTTCCAACCACCGATCACCGTCTCCTGTGCGCATTTCCAACACGACCAACAATACACGTGCATCCCGACCACGCTCCCCTTCGCCACTCCAACGCTCTGTTTCACCACTTCGCGCTGTTTCTCGACTGGCTGCCCAGCGATCGGAAAACTAAACAGTGCAGTTCTTGGAGGGAAAACTGCATCGCGGCGAAATGAACCAAGTCCTCCTAAACGACCGTCAAACATGTTATTGGTAACTGTGCAAGGTGTGCGGGTGTTGGCTTTGGTGGACACGGGAGCAACTATTTCAGTTATGCGTGCCGACTTGTGTTCTAGATTGTGGATAGTGAAGACACCCTACCTTGGATCATCTTTGATTGGGGCCAATGGAGCAATAATTAGACCATCGGCCCAATGTGCAGCGCGTGTCTTCCTTGATGGTATTCGTCATCACATCACCTTCGCTGTCTCAATTTCATGTGCTCATGAACTAATTTTAGGTTGGGACTTTCTCTCATCAGCATCTGCATTAATTTCTTGCCATCAACGTGTAGTCGAAATGACCGAGACCGATCACTGCAGCGAACGCGTCGACGAAAAACCATTGCGTTTCTTCACAGCTTCCGAATCATACTGCTCCCGGGTGAGGAGAAACTCATCACCATCACTTCTCCGAATATTGCCAATGGTGACGTCCTTATCACCCCTTCCAGCAGCTGTCTAGCTCGCGGCGTTGTAGTCCCCTCCAGCCTGGTGCGGTTCAAAGACAGTGCTGCGATAATCCTTGGCCTGAACCCTACCCCAGAGCCTGTCCTCCTACCCCAAGGTTCTGCAGTGTCATGTTATGTGGATACCCAACCGGTATCTTTGGTCTCTCTTGACGCCTTGACAGCTCAGCCACAACAGGCCCACTCTGTTACTTCCTGCCTCCTTTGCTCCCGGGATAAATCCTGACCTTTCTGCTTCTCAACGTGAGGCGTTGCTAAATTTGCTAACGAAACACCAGGCCTCCTTCGACGCCAATGCTTCGGCACTAGGACAGACCACAGTTGCGCATCATCGCATCGACACTGACGGTCAGACTGTTGTACGCCGTCGTCCCTACCGAATCTCCTCGGTCGAGTGCAAAGTCATCGAGGAGAACGTGACCGATATGCTAAAAAGAAACATCATACGACCCTCTACCAGTTCTTGGTCATCACCCGTTGTGTTGGTACAAAGGAAGGATGGATCGGTACGATTTTGTGTTGATTACCGCGCGCTCAACAAGATCACCCGAAAAGATGTATATCGGATGCCCCGTATAGATGATGCACTTGACTCATTGCAAGGCGCCCAATGCTTCTCCACCCTTGACCTTCGGTGCAGGTATTGGCAAATACCAACAGACGAAGCAGACAAAGAAAAGACCGCGTTTTCTACGCCGGACGGTCTTTACGAGTTTAACGTATTGCCATTCGGCCTATGTAATGCTCCCGCCACATTTGAAGGATGATCGACACTGTTCTTCGTGGCCTCAAGTGGAAAACTTGTCTATGTTACTTCGATGATATCGTCGTGTTTTCTTCCACTTTTGCTGATCATCTGCAACGCCTGGATCAAGTGCTCACATGTCTCTCCAATGCTGGACTTCAACTAACCACAAAGAAGTGCAATTTTGGCAACACAGCTATAAAAGTTCTAGGACATCTCGTTTGTAAAGATGGCATCCAGCCCAATCCTGACAAAATTTCCGCAGTCTTCAACTTTCCGCGACCCTTTCGTTCCAAAGAACTACGCAGTTTCCCTTGACTCGCATCGTACTTTCACCGCTTCATTCGTAACTTTGCCACTATTGCCGCTCCTCTCCACAAGCTCCTTGCCAGTACCGGTTCCTTCGATTTGAATGATCAATGCGAA